AATCAAAATTTCTCTCCCTCCCTCACTCAAGAATCTATTTTTCCAGTTAGACACTCTAGATATAACACAATCAGACACAAATTTGAAAGTGTCCAATTTGGATCTTCCTATACCCAGGGGCATCCCCAGGTATTTGGAAGATCTGACAACTTGAACCCCTCCAAACAGTTGACAAATGTAGTCCCTGGAATCATCTGGTGTATTTTTAGAAAAGAAGATAGAGGATTTAGAGAGATTTATAACCTGACCCGAAGCCTTCCCATAAGAGATCAAAATGGAATATAGGATATCTGCATTCTGTTTATTAGCTTTACAAAAGACAATCGAATCATCTGCAAATAAAAGGTGAGTAATTGCTGGAGCAAAAGGACCTATTTTGATACCACTGAAATTGGAAAAATTTGAAGCTTGATTAAGGGAAAAAGATAAGGCTTCTGTGATGATCAAAAATAGGTAGGGAGACAAAGGATCTCCCTGCCTTAAACCCCTAGAGGTTTCACAAAGCCCTTAGGTTGCCCATTAATTAATACTAAAAGAAAATGAGGCAGTATTTAAGCGGCAAAAAATCCAAGAAATGGAAGTTTTACAAAAACTCAATTTTTTCAAGATAAGGATGAGGAAATCCCATTCAACCCTGTCATAAGCTTTGGACATGTCTAATTTCAGGGCCATGAAGGAATTTCTCCCTTTTTTTTTTGCTATTCAAAAAGTGGATACATTCATTGGCAAGAATAATATTATCTATAATTTGCCTACCCGGCACAAAAGCTGCCTGGTTAGGAGAAATACATAGGTGAAGAACTGTTTTGATTCTGTTAGCCACAATCTTGGATATAACTTTATAAATAACTGTACATATGCTTATAGGTCGAAAATCAGATACTTTTAGAGGGTTAAGAATTTTGGGAATAAGAGAAATTATAGTATGGTTTATTTTTTGAGGAATGCACCCTGACTGAAAAAAGTTTTTCACAGCTGCGCAAAAATCATCCCTAATGATATGCCAACAGGATTGGAAAAAAAGTGGGGTCATACCGTCTATCCCTGGAGCTTTGTGGGGGTTCATCTCCATCAGTGCATCTTTAATCTCTTCATCTACTACAGATTTTGTCAAGGACTGATTCATTTGGTCAGTGATTACCCTCTGCAATCCCTCCAAATTACACTCCTCCACTCTGTGTTCAGTCGATGTGAAGATTTTTTGGAAGGAATTCACTATTTCCTTCTCATCCCCACAGCTTTCTCATTATCTTTCATCAGGTGAGCAATCTTATTCTTTATTCTTCTATGTTTAACACAGGTATGAAAATACCTTGTGTTTTTATCACCATTCTTGAGCCACTGTATCCTTGATTTTTGCCTTCAATATTCTTCTTCCTCCAAATATGACTTGTGAAGTTTCTTCTTAATCTCTATCCAGTTATCCCAATCTTTCCTGCACCCCCTGGTTTAGCATCACTGCTAGTTGAGCATTGTAGCTATCGATGAGTAGAGCTGAATTAGTAGCCTGAGATGTCTTCCATTTCAGCAAGGCCATCCTTGTGTTTCTGATTTTACTCTGTATGCTGTAAAGTGGAGGACCATAGACCTGTTTCTACCAAGCTTCAGTCACTGTTTCTTGGAATCCCTTCTTCCGTGGCCATCTTGCATCAAAATAAAATCTTTTCTTCCCATGACCTGCCCCTGGATTAGTATCCATCAAAAGAAGACAATGATCAGAGGATATCCTGGGAATGTGTGTGGTAGTAGTTTGAGGAAAGGATAAGAGCCACTCATCTGAAAAAAGAAACCTATCTAATCTCTCCTCAACAAATCCTTCCCCATTTCTATTATTAGACCAAGTGTAAGGGTAGCCTTTGAATCCTATATCCTGAACTTTAA